CACTACTGATTTCACTTGTAGACTTGCCCTTCACCCCTTCCTTCACTGCTCACACATAGCTGTGTATATTTCCAACACCAGTCCCCTTTTACCGGTTCTCACGGTGTCTTCGCTTGCGGATTTCTTATATTTTTCCTTCTACCCTGAAGATGGAGGCGATACGTTCCTCCGACACGTCGGTTAACACCACATATACACGGTGCCAAATCTCAGAAGACTGCTTTCTTCATAGTCACCGTCGTGAAAGCCTCAAATCTTACACCTTATTTACTTATATGTGTGAATCATAGGGCGAAATTCCGGAAGGTTAAAGTTATCAATGGGCGTATGAAATCAGGCACCATGCCTTAAAGACGTAAAGGGAGAAGAGATATGATTCCCCAGTTCTCAATTTTTGAACTTGATGGAGCTCCGTTGTTAGCTCCACCCACATGCAGCTTTTCGGACGAGGAAACGTCTTGTGGCTCATGACGTTATGGATAAGAAAAGGAAAAAAAATAATCTTGTCCTTGCCGAGAATCGAACCCCGACTCCTAGATCGTTTAGTAATTTTTTGTATTCGCTTAGTGGGGGTTGGAGTCAAATTGTGTAGGTTTAGTCATTAGTCTAATCGCTATAGCTCAAGCCGCTCAAGCGGTTGAGGCTCCCACACAGCAGAGCGATCGCGATGGCGGTGGAGGTCACAGTGGTCACAGTGTCGATAAAGTGGTAGCGATTAGTTTGAAAAATCGGATAAGCACATCATATACGATGCATCGATTATCTCGTCCGGAAGAAGCGCTACTTTTAGCAGAGGTAGTTGATGATGAACAGCGGCAAGCAAGGTAATTATTCCTTTTATTGTGTACAATTGGAGAAATTTGAGAAGTTATTACAAATATTAACATCACAATGAATTGTATATTAATTAATATATTTTTCAGAAAGAAGCGTAAGTAAACGTGGATCTGCCCCCTTGTTCCTAGGCTTCATCTTTTTTTATATATTTTTGTAATCAGAATGCGACAAATCAAATAATATATTATGTAATTCTACTTCTTCAATAAGTTGCTCTGTTGTACTCATTGTTCATGTTAACACACAGTGACGCGAGCAGCGACCAAACTCGACAAGCTGCATCTGATCTGGTCGATCTGATGGGGATCTGATGTATCTGATATCTGATCGCCACCGCGGAGTATAACGCTGCACTGTGCGGAACGCTGCCCGCAAGATCGCTGCCTGTCTGAAAGCGTCTATAAGTTCAGCAAGAAATATCTGACCGTATCTGACGGCCACCGCCACTGCGATCGCTCTGGTGCGAGTTAGGTTGTCCGAATCGATGTTCATGTACGATGATGTAATTGGCAGTAAAATTTGCAATTGAGAAACTGTTTGGACCTATTGTATTTGTGGTCGAAACAATGTTTGTAAGTACGGAAATAAAATTGACAACGGTATAACTTACCGAGGAGGCCCCAATAGTATAAATACGGCTTTTAAACTCTTTGAAATATTTGCATCATGGTTGTATGTGTATGAAGTTTGTTGTATGGATGTTCGTGGTCCTCGTTACTGTATTGGATAATTGAAATGATAGCCACATGCAGTGGTGTTCAGTTGTAGTTCATTTACATAATTCTTACGATCGAAAAAGAGCGTACGTTTGCTATTACGTTTTCCCATTCAGTGTTCCAATGTCATTCATATCCTCAAAATTGGACTGATTTCGTAGTTACCTGTAATACAAAAAGGAAAATTATATCTTACTAGTCTGAGCTTTGCCCTTTAGTTTCTAAGTTTAATATACACTGATTATAGCCCAGTTTAATGACGTGGCAGTTGTACTTCATTCTGCCATCGGTGCTTCGATTTTCTTTCCTTAAGTAAAATTAAGTAGTGAAATCTGAAACGTGATTTGGTGTCCAAAAATTAATGGTTAACATAACAGAATAGAGAATGGTGTATTGAAATCAGTACATTTTGTTTAAGACATTTGGATACAATAAATCGTTGGACATTTTCAAATTATGTAACCAGCCCATCTGTTGATCAGTTATTCATGCTGTCCTAGTACAAGGCCATGGAGGCACATAGGGTTGAGATGTCAAAGCTTCCACATTTTCTAGACAGTCGACTCACAGGTGGTAGTGAGGTCAGCCTTAAGTGCCGGCCACCCTTTACCCCCAGGAAGATTCATGGTATTCAGTTCTGTTAGGGGCTGCGTTGACTCCAGGACCATACTGCAGCTGTAAGGTTTAGGTCAATTGAAAAATGCAGTGACCTCATCAAGAATAACACCTGTGACATTCCAGCTTGTAGCATAGCACATCAACCAACTAATATTGCACAGAAGTGCAGGCTGTTTCAAATTATGAAAATCCAGAGATTTTTCAGTTTGGACCAAATCTTAAAATCAAGACAGGGCCAGGTTTTTGGTGACTTGGACACTGACTGAGAGAGGTGAAAATTCTAACCTGATATTTAAAATATGTGGTATGTCATTGTGTTTCAAAATGATATTAGGAAACTTTTTTAATTGTGTTGTATCAGCAGTTAAGAAGGTAGAGTTCGTTAGTGATAGGATATCATATATAATACTAAAAGATCACTGGTGTGATATCATTGTTATGAATGTTCATGCCCCAACAGAAGATAAAATTGATGACATAAAGGATAGATTCTATGAAGAACTAGAACATGTATTTGATAAACTCCTGAAGTACCCTATGAAAAGTTTGTTAGGAGATTTCAATGCCAAAGTAGGGAGGGAAGACATTTTCAAACTAACAATTGGGAAAGAGAGTTTGCATGAAATTAGTAATGATAATGGAGTTAGAGTAGTAAACTTTGCCACATCAAAAAAATCTTACTGTCAAAAGTACAGTGTTCCAACATCGTAATGTCCATATATTTACTTGGACATCTCCTGATGGGAAGATACACACTCAGATAGACCATATTTTGATAGATAGGAGATGACACTCAAGTATACGTGATGTCCGATCATTCAGAGCAGCAGATTGTGATCCTGACCACTGCCTGGTGGTGGCAAAGGTTAGTGAAAGACTGGCAGTGAGCAAACAAACAACACACAGAGTTCGTATGGAGAGGTTCAATCTCAAGAAATTAAATGAGGTACAGGGTAAAGGGCAGTATTGTGTTGATGTGGCTTTGGAAAACTTGGAAACTGAAAATGTCTGCCAAAGACAGTCTAGGTTATTATGAACCAAAGAAGCATAAGCCATGGTTCAATGACGGATGCTCAGAATTATTAGATCAAAGAAAGCAGGCCAAATTGTAATGGTTACAGGATCCAAGTGAGTTAAATGTGGATAATCTGAACAATATAAGACATGAAACCAGGAGGCATTTCAGGAACAAAAAAGGGAAATATCAGAAAACAAAATTGATGAGCTTGCAATAAACAGTAAGAACAAGAACAATAGAGGCCTGTATAGAGGAACAAATGACTTTAAAAGGGGTTACCAGCCTAGCAGTAACTTAGTGAAGGATGAGAATTGTTATCTGCTTGCAGATTCCCACAATATTTTGAATAGGTGGAGGAACTACTCTCAGTTATTGAATGTACATAGGGTCACTAATGTTAGGCAGGCAGAAATCCATGCAGCTGAGCCGTTAGTACCTGATCCTAGCCCTTTTGAGGTTGAAAATGCTATTGCAAAATTGAAATGGTATAAATCACCAGGTAGTGATCAAATTCCGACAGAACTTGTTGANCAAAAAAGGGAAATATCAGAAAACAAAATTGATGAGCTTGCAATAAACAGTAAGAACAAGAACAATAGAGGCCTGTATAGAGGAACAAATGACTTTAAAAGGGGTTACCAGCCTAGCAGTAACTTAGTGAAGGATGAGAATTGTTATCTGCTTGCAGATTCCCACAATATTTTGAATAGGTGGAGGAACTACTCTCAGTTATTGAATGTACATAGGGTCACTAATGTTAGGCAGGCAGAAATCCATGCAGCTGAGCCGTTAGTACCTGATCCTAGCCCTTTTGAGGTTGAAAATGCTATTGCAAAATTGAAATGGTATAAATCACCAGGTAGTGATCAAATTCCGACAGAACTTGTTGAAGTAGGAGGTGAAATATTACATTCTAAGATCCACAATCTAATTACATCTATTTGGCATAAGGAAAACTTGCCTGACCATTGAAAGGAGTCTATTATTGTACTAGTTCACAAGAATGGTGATAAAACTGACTGTAGGAATTATTGAGGGATATCACTGCTATCAACTTCATACAAAATTTTATCCAATATTCTGCTCTCAAGGTTAAGTTCATATATAGGTGAAATTATTGAGGATCATCAGTGTGGGTTTCGACGTAACAGATCAACTGCAGATCAGATCTTTTGCATTCGTCAGATATTGGAGAAAAAATGGGAGTACGATGAGACAGTACATCAGCTATTCATAGACTTCAAGAAAACCTATGATTCAGTTAGGAGGGAAGTATTGTACAATATTCTGATAGTCTGGGGTACCCATGAAACTAGATAGATTGATTAAAATGTGTTTAAACAAAACATATAGTAAAGTCCATGTAGGTAAACATTTGTCTGATAAATTTTCTATCCAGAATAGTCTAAAACAAGGAGATGCTTTATCGCCACTCGTTTCAATTTTGCTTTAGAATATGTCATTAGGAAGGTCCAGGAAAACCAGGTGGGACACATCAGCTGTTGGCCTATGCTGATGATTTGAATTTACTGGGTGATAATGTAGATGCCATAAAGAAAAACACACAAACTTTAATTGATGCAAGTAAAGAGTTTGGTCTATAAGTAAACACTGAGAAAACTAAGTATATGTTGCTGTCTCGTCACAAAAATGCAGGGCAAAATCATGATATAAAGATAGGAAACAGATGTTTTGAAAATGTGGCACAGTTCAGATATTTGGGAACAACGATGACAGATCAAAACCTGATTCAGGAGGAAATTGAGAGGAGATTGAACTAAGGTAATGCTTGCTACTGTTCAGTCCAGAACCTTTTGTCTTCTCGTCTGCTGCCCAAGAACATAAAAATTAGAATATACAAAACTATAATTTTGCCTGTGGTTCTGTATGGATGTGAAACTTGGTCTCTGACATTAAGGGAGGAATATAGACTGATCGTGTTGAGGAGAATATTTGGACCAAAGAGAGATGAAGTGACAGGAGGTTGGAGAAAACTGCATAATGAGGAGCTTCATAACTTGTACTCTTGTCCAAGTACTAACTAGAATAATCAAGTCAAGGAGGATGAGGTGGGCAGTGTATGTAGTATGAATGGAGGAGAAAAAGAATGTCTATAGGATATTTGTGGAAAAGCCAGAAGGAAAGAGACCACTGGGAAGACCAAGAAGATGGGTGGACAATATTAAAATGGATCTTAGAGAGATAGGATGGGTTGGTATTGATTGGATTGATCTGGCTTAGGATAGGGACCAGTGGAGGGATCTTGTGAACATAGTAATGAACCTTCGGGTTCCATAGAATGCTGGGAAATTCTTGAGCAGCTGCAGAAGTGGCAGCTCCTCCAGAAGGGCTCAGCTCCATGAGTGAGTGAGTAAGTAAGTAAGTAAGTTGTTAAAGTCAGAAATGATTCAGTATGAGAATGGAGGCCGGGAAGCTCATTCCAAATGACTAATTGAAGGCTAAGAATAAGAAGGAGCATACCAAATGAATAGGGCTATATAAACAGCAGGTCTGGTTTGAAAATAAGTTGACAGAGGCTCTGAGAATGTGGATGGGCATGAAAATTGTTTTGCAAAGTAATGTTGTCTAGATGCAGTAACATCACAGAAGGAAGATAATAAAGAAATATTTATTGATATTGAGGGTTTTACTACTATCAGGAGATGCTTTTTTGAATCCAGTCACCTTAAACAAAATGTAGAATGAATTGTTGCTTCACTATGTAGTGAATATAGAATACATTTACTTAAAACAAAAATTACATGGATTGGAAAAAATTGCTAATTATTTGTTGAATTTAATTATACTATTTCATGTAAGGCATGTGAATACATGAAGCATGACACTGAATACTTAACTACTACCCAGCTCTGAGTGCTGACAAGCTGCGTGGCCCCTACATATTGTGATGGCATGTAGTATAGGCTATTCATTGCCAGTGTTACATGCTCCTTGAAAGAACCTTTTTATATATGACAACTAAATTTCATGAAGTCATGAGTTATTTAAGCCCCATGGATAATTCATCATTGTTGACATACTGACATTTATTATTGTAGAGAAGTGCTCAGAAACAACTATTCCATTTTAACAGGATTTTAATTTTCAGGTTCTCTTCTGTAAGTGTAATTATGCATGGATGAAATACCGTATTTACGCATGTATAGGCCGCGTGCGTGTATAGGCCGCAGCACAATTTTCAGACAAATCATAGAAAAAAATAATTTTCTTGGAATATTATTTCAGGAGTAGAAATTATTCCGAAATTTGGCAATATAATTTTTTTTAAATGAAGTGTGATTTCGAATATAAGCCGCACCCCAGTTTTGCTCTTGAATTTTTGGCAAAAAATGTGCGGCCTGTACATGCGTAAATACGGTACCTCCAGTCATTTTGCACATTCTACAGTCTATTCTGTTACTAGTATTTTTCTTTATTCTTCATTCCTGCCAGATTTTGGCCAAACCATTCATCTGTAACAGGCATATAAGTTATTTATTTTTTTATTTTAGATTCAATAAATCCTTTTTGGCCAAGCCTAGGATGTAGGATGTAGTTATATTCATTATAGCACAAAATGAAGTCATATTGTGATGTAGGATGGGGTGCTATGAACTGGAGTTATCTGGCTGAGGATAGGGACTAGTGTAGGGCTTTTGACAACATGGTGATGAACCTTCAGATTACATAAAATATTCGGAAGTTCTTGAGTAGCTGTACTGCTGGTTGCTTCTCAAGAAGGACTCAACTCCATGAAGTTAGTTAGTTATCCATCATGGTAGGAGGAGGCTTCATGTTTCTAATGTCATAACATGTTGCAAGGTTTTATTTTTTTATGTTGTGTGTCCAGGATTTTGTGGGTGCAGGTTTCTGCAGAAGCGGCTCTTTTGGAACAGAACAGCAAGGGAGTGCTGCAATGACCTGTGACGGCTGCTCTATTAAATTTACCGTTTTTAAAAGAAGAGTAAGTCCTCTTATTTATTGTGCAAGAGAAGTTATTTTTTGTCATCTAATTCATGATGCTGTCAGTATCCAGACCAGGGGTCTTCAGCGTGGTGCCTCACAAGGCTTTCATAGTTGCCCATGACTGACTGGCCACCTGGTTCATTATACACCATAGATTGAGTGCATCCCCAGTATTGTTTTAGCGATGAGGAGAGGGAGCATGGTATGCCTCACCCCCACTATTCACCACCTACAATCACCTGATCCACTCACCAGATGTGGCCAGTGAGCTTGTGAGTATGTAGTGTGACAGTGCATGGAATATAGGTCATATTACCATATACAAACATTTTTGCCTCTGAGTGAGCCAAATAAGAGGCAACACATGTAATTTGAGTGCTGCATGGGAAATATTTTGTTGTTTTGTTGATAACAAAAGGAAACGTGTTTGTTTGCTGTGAAGTAGCAGTGTTGCCGTGCCAAAGGAATGTAATGTTGACTGTCATATCCAGACTAATTACAGCTCCTTTGTCATTAACAGTCCACTTAAATCTGAGTTAGGAAAGAAAAAAGTAAATGAACTGAATTCAAAACTTTCAGCCCATCTGTCACTTGTTGTTGGATACATGGTAAAATCTAAAGATGCCAATATTATTTCCTGTGAATTGCTTGCAAAGGAGAAGGAGGAGGAGGTGGTAGTGGCATTGATATTGCAGACCATTTCTGATTGCCCTTGTGGTAGGTTTCATATGAAGCATGAGATTATGTTAGCCGTTATCTGACAGCACAATTATGAAATCATGAAATATTCATGACAAGATGGTGGATACCACATCAAAAAGTGAAGAGATTGCAGAAGATTTTGTGAATATAATTGAGGAAGATCATGACTTAAAATGTGAATGTTGCATCCAATATAAAACTGAGTTAACTAAAGTTACTTCTGAACTAAAATCAGCCATGAGAATCATCTAAATTCTAAAGGAAGAACGAAAAATTGACGATTCATTGATGGACAAAGCTGTCGTGAATATATGTAACCATGAAGAAGGAATATATTCACTGCAAAGAAATGAAAATTGGACACAAGTAACTACGCGTTTATATAAGAGGGCTCTATCTAACCCCAGTAAATCCCCATCAACAGTAATAAGAACGACAAACAGATTTAAAAGTCTTACATAACCTAGACAAAGAACTGAAGAAGAAAACCAGTACAATCAAGAGGAAATTTCACAAATCTTATGCAACAACACAGGAAGAACGGGTTAAAGAACCTATCTCTCTAAGAACAAATAGAACCAAGAACAAGGAAGAGGTGTTCCAAGTGTTTGATATACCTGTGCTAGTGAATGGGCATGTACCTAGTAATAAGCCTTCAAAGGTCTCAATGAACGTGATGTCTGCAATAAATAGCACTGACAGTGAAATAGAGAAGCAAACACTGAACAAAAATGCAAGCTTAGTGTAAATTCCTTTAAACAAAAATATAAAACATACAATTTTACTCATCAGTGATAGCCATATTAGAGACTGTGCAGATAAGACTAAAGATAACTTAAAAAAATGTTTAGTGTGATAGGATTTGTAAAACCAGGAGCAAATATCAAGATTGTCTTCCTCTGAAGAGCTAATGGTCAAATCTTTGACCCACAATGATGTGATTGTCCTTTCAGGTGGAACTAAAGATATAGGGAAAAATAACTAAGAAGGACTAAGAAATATGATGGGGTACCCAAAAGAAACCAAACTAATTTTTTTGTGGGCAGAGCTTTTGTAGTACTGCGTTTTGCCGCTGTGAGCGCATAGAGCTAACATTCCTGAGTCGATAAGCTGACTACCGTTGCTTCAGAAGGTAAGGACTAGTTTCGACAGAGTTTATAGTGACAACTGTTTTGTGCGAATGTCGTTTTTGCAAT